GATCCATCTCCATCATATATCATATATATAAAGTGAAAAGGAGATGAGAAGGGAGCAGACTTACTCACTGTTCCACTACCTTGCTATTTGCAGGTAAAAACGGCCATTTGCCGAATCGTCATACTATAATTTCACTGTCGAAATTTTCCTCTAGCAATTAGTTGCAGGTTTTTCTATATAAATAGAAACTCAACCATCCATCATGCAGAGTCCTGGAACCACCGTTGGCACGGTGCTATATGAGACCATGGCTGGAAAGCTGAACCCTAAGCTTCTACAAGCTCTCAAGGTCCTGGGTTTCACCCATATGACGCCCGTTCAGCAACGGGTGCTAACTGAACTGCCAGATTGGCGCAGTGACTGCCTCGTCCAGGCTAAGACTGGTACCGGCAAGACGCTGGCTTTCCTGCTACCTACATTGCACTGTCTTCTTGATCCCTCTATGGCACCGCCTAGAGGGCAGGTCGCCACCTTGATCGTTACCCCTACGCGTGAACTGGCCCAGCAGATTGCCAAGTCATGTGATCAACTGACATCGCAAATGGCAGTACCTCTGAAATGCGACATTGCTGTTGGTGGAACCGCTCGGGCTTCTGCGTTTTCGCGCTTCATGAAAGAGGCTCCCTCTGTTCTTGTAGCAACTCCAGGACGGTTGAAAGATTACCTGTCCGAGCCCGAGGCGGCTATCAAGCTGTCTAACATCCGGACCTTGATTCTGGACGAGGCTGATACGATGCTCGAGAGTGGCTTCCTAGCTGATGTGAAGCACATTATCCGACACATTCCCCCCAAAAGCGCTGGATGGCAGGGAATGTGCTTCTCTGCCACTCTTCCTCCCAAAGTCAGGGATGTGGTCAGTGTTGTGCTCAAGCCAGGCTACAGTAGCATTTCTACTATTGATGAAAACGAAACCCCAACGCATGAGAGAGTTCCCCAGTATCATGTGCTGATGCCGTCTGTGGCAGATTCTTTTACCACTCTTGCCTCCCTTCTTCAGTTGGAAACGAAGACCAGTTCGAAAATCATCGTTTTTGGCGTCACGGCAAACATGGTCAGTCTCTTCGCAGCTGCCTTTTCTCGGGGCTTGACGAAGTTGAGTGTGTTTGAGATTCACTCCCGACTCAGTCAGAGCGCTCGCACCAAGACTACCGCTCAATTCAAGGAAGCGGCTGCCGGAATCCTCTTCGCGTCAGACGTCATTGGCCGTGGCATGGATTTCCCCAACGTCGACTTGGTCATCCAGGTTGGCTTGCCGACCAACGGCGAGCAATACGTTCACCGTGTCGGCCGTACAGCCCGTGCCGGCAATGATGGTCGCGCCATCATCCTCCTCACCGAAGCGGAGACCTTCTTCCTGAGAACCAATCGCCACTTGCCCATCCAGCCCCATCCCCAGACCGACGCCATCATCGAGGGAGCTGCCTCGTATGCAGAGACCGTCGCGGAGGCTATGTACACGATTGACGAAGAGAAGAAGCAACGCGCCTACTCGTCTTTCATCGGTTTCTTTGCTGGTTCGGGTCTCCTGAAGCAGCTTCGTCTCGACAAACCGGGTCTTGTTCAGATGGCCAATGAGATGGCTATCCAGGGCATGGCATGCCCTGAACCCCCTGTCATCGACAAGAAGATCGTTGGCAAGATGGGGTTGAAGGGTATTCCCGGATTCAACTATGGACACGGAGGTGACTCGGTTCGAGGCTCGTCTTTTACGCCGCGTGGTCGTCCTGGTGGCAAACGCGATGCCAGTATTGGCGGGCCAGGCGATGGCAGTGGGTTTGAGAAGAGACAGAAGAGCGCGCGCGGCAGGGGCCGTGGACGGCGTGGAGGGGGCCAGAGATCAGTTTGATTGACATTCACTGGTTATAGTGTTAGCATTCTAGACAATAGACAATAGACATACCATCGCCCTTACAAATGACTATGACTTTACTTTGAGCAATCTCACAAGCAGGATATCATCCAGACTGTCGGGAACATGCCTAAAGCTACAAGTAATCCTGGAATAAGGTGCATTTCACCATGTAAATTCCGACAAAGAAGCTCACTAGTCGTGGCTTTCCTTTGGCAACTCACGAGACCATTGTCACGTCACATTCATAACACATCGTTTCTTTCTCCTCTTTCTTCTCATTGTTCCTCCCATTTTTTCACCAACAAAGCCTCGTTCCCTTCCTTTTCTTTATCCTGTGGTTCCAGAAGCCACTACAAGCTCCGTTCTCTACAGCAAAGCGCACAGTTCTTGTCTCTATTCCGCTATTCGCAAGCTGTCGATGTTACGGCTTGCTCCCACGGCCGTGCCCGTTTCGCGTGAGAAATTGCGGCATCAACATAGTGAATAGATGTGAAATCTTACGCTCAGTGAGTTTTAAGGATGTCTTCGTTGTTAATATAATGATTGTACCTTAAATTGTGGTACAAACCAGAGGCAGTCTTTCAGGTCATACAAGCTTTATTGCATATTCTATCTTAAGCTTTTGCTCAGCCATCTTCAGAGATTCTCGCCGGTATCGATTGAGGAATATACATTTATATTGCGGCAATGAGCAGAAATGCAGTGCTTTGATGTCATATAAGCGTGATTTCAGATACATTTCTCGTCCGTTAAGCATATCTTATTAACCACTCTCTATCTTGCTACGATTCTCTAAACAGTTTCGGAAACTCTCAAACATTACATTTCACTGTTTTATATCCTTCATAGTAACTCTCCAGATTGACGGTACACTCCTCCACAAAATCCGCTGCAAGATGAAATCCAGCGACGCAATTCTCACAACACCGGAGAAAGCAGCTTCAGAATCTTTCAATATCAATCCCCAAGATCAAACTGAAGAGAACAATATCTATATAAACCATGAATAAACCACACCAATCTCGAAATCATCATCGCTCACAACGGTCTTCACATCCTGACATCTCCAGCTCCAGCTCCAGCCCCAGCTCTCCTTCAGACAGTATCTAAACAGTTGATCTCGAGAGAATCCCACTCAGTCCAACCCAAGATACCACTAACATATAGTATACCCCACCGCAATCTGCAACCGGTATAATATATATATTCAAAATGTCTGACAGAACCGGCTCCACCAACACCAACACCAACAACAATAAGTCCGGAGGTAGTACCAGCGGCGGAGTTCAGATCACTGAAGCGAAAGCCAGCATCATCACCAGCCCAAGGAACATCAACCAACTGAGTACCTGGGGCCAATCCGCCCGAGACAGACGTCAGGGAGGTAACAAAGGATCTGATAACAAGGGACCATCTGATTCTCCTTCCAGGTAAAGCTTGTCTGCTGCTATCCTGTCATACCGGATGGCCAAGACTTTACCGACCGACCGACCGACCGACCGAATCCGGTCGGGTTGATCGGAGCTTTTCTTTTTGGTCTGGACCCACATACGAGAGTCTCACCCTGTCTTTTCTTTCTTTCTGTATGATCGCTCCTTTATCCGTGGGTCTGGTCCTTACAAAGTAGGTTGCAGTGATATTCAGGAGGGTCCCATCGCAGTCTCCACAGGTCGTGGCATCATGGACTTTGATGTTCTTGCTTGCCTTGCCTTGCCTTGCTATATATAGTAAGTAAATCCTGTGGGTGGGTTCATGGGTACTTAACTTTACTTTTGAGTATGTCATTGTGACTATACTATATTGAAGGGGGTGGCATCATCCGACCTTATACATAGATGCGAAGCAAGCAGTTACGATGAATGAATGAAATTATGAATGGAAATGAATTCTCCAGCAGTAGTAATATGAACTACCCGAAAGCAGACATGACACGACATGACATGACATTAGTTAATCGCCGAGTAGTGTAACATGAAACCACCAGTCACCATGACAGAATTACTAAGTACCTACCTCAGGGGATGGATGAAACAGTGCTGTGCAATAAATCGCTCACTTACATATACATACTACTAGTCAGCTCCGTACTACAGTAAGCACCGCCTTGCGAATGCGAGCAGTGGTAAAAGACTGCCCCTGATTCTAAGGCTCTAGCTCCAAGCCAGCGATAAATGAACATCTTAATTACTACTACCCCTGATACTAGCAAACCCATCAATTTAATTACCTTAAATCCCAAATATGATCCCCATACCACAAACTAGTATACACCAATGTCCCCACCAGAATCAATCACCTGCAGAAAACGATCAAACCCCCATACCCAGAACAAAATCCCTACAGAACTATCATCCCAACTATCGAAAAAATTAGTTCCGTGATTGGCTGATATTATTCTCCACTGATTTGATTAACTGACTGATTGACTGATTGACCCGATCGCCGTGGCGTAGACTTACTTTAGTGGCGTGGCGTGGCAGGGCAAGGCAGGGCAAGGGCCGTTCTATCCGAGCGGGAGACTAAAATCGTTAGCGTCGGGAGGGAGAGAGGGAGAATTTCAGGGATTGTGAGTGGTTGCTAGACTAGTTTGTCGCTAGCGTTATCTGTGAGTTGTGTCTGGGCTGTTCTAGAAAATTGAAACCGGTTTGAGTCACTCATCTAACTAAATTGTTATCTACTAGCAGGATTATACAAAGTAGTTAGTGGATGGATGGGTATATGATGTGCGTGTGATGGCAGGGATTAATTAATCAATTAATTTAATTGATAATTGATTTCTTCAGAACAGGGTTTTCTGCAGAGTACATACATACAGTAGTAGTACATAGTATAGTATGTAGGAAGGATCAATGTTCCGATCGATGTTATATATTTCATTTTCTATATACAAATAGAATAGAGAAGAGATAATGTAAAGCGTGCATATCCCGCGGGTATTAATTAAGTATTATATCTAATTTATCCATAACAATCATGACATGATGCAAAAAAAACCAATGCTCCCGACTATGCAATCCAATCCTTCTAAACACCCATGCTTTGCTTGCTTTGCTTTGCTTTGCTATATTCCGTCCAGCGATTCATTATTGTTGTTGTTGATTATGATGTTTTCGTTCGTAGTGTAATGTTGTGTATAGTGTGGTGTAGTTCAAGCGAAGTGGAAGAACCTATTATTTCATCGTTAGCATCAAATCCCAAAGTGGAATAGACAGTGGTATGAACATACTTCCTCGAGAATCTAGCCTTCCACTTCTTCTCAGACTTGTTGCTGCTGGCACAAGAATCCAAATGCTCCTGAGAGGCGTTGGTAGACTGGACTTCCTTGGCGAAAGCAGCATCAATGACGTTGCTGTCAACGCTGCGAGGGGTGCTGCAGGCACTGCGACGAGCCTGCTTGGAGCCAAGGCCGTAGGATTCAGGGCCGATCAAGGGATAAGGGATAGTCATTTTGATGGTGGTGGTTGTTTTGAGGAATGTGGGATAGATAGATTTGTGTGGAGGTTTTGGAATGCGATGATGTAGAGAGTAGAAGAGAAGCTTGCTTTGCTTTGCTTTGCTTTGCTTTGTTGGATGGATGGATAGTAATTCCAAGTCGCAATTGACGGTACCAGAAGGGAGTTTATATAACTTTTTTCTTTGAGAGTACGTACTCTATGACTCCTTGTTCCTGACTTGCGTTATTTTCCCAATTTTTTTTTTCTTTTCCTTTTTTTTCTGCTGATCATGCGAACAGTAAACCCGACCCCCATTCCAAAAATAATTTCGACCGTCCGAACGGCACTTTGGATCCGAACGGGCGATTACAAGGACTAGAACGTGGCTAGCTTGCTCTGCTTTGGGTTTAGTCATGGCGAAAAACGGGAAAGCTACTACTATAGCTAACAAGCAACGCCACCCTTATCAAATCACGCATAGAAGAACAAGGTCTGCTTCAAGTCTAGAAGGAAAAACTTTTCTTTTCCTTTACCCAACACTTTGACCTACACCCAACCACCACCACAACCACCACCACCACCACCACCACCACCAATATCTTCATGATAGTAGTAGTATCTACTCGGTTAAATCGGCGCGTTGGGTTGATAGATTTTCGCCATTGCAATTTATCATTATTATTTTATTTTCTTCATAGAATAGTCTCGATCACCAGACAATCTACTACCAAAGTTGTACGTAACTCAACCCCCAATTCAATTAGTCCCCCTTGAGGAATGCGAATGCGAGTTGTACTGTTGCAACTTGCAACTTACAACACGGGATCCCGACCGGGAGGGAAGAAAAAAAAAAAAAGGTGTGGCGGCAATCGGGTTCACCCAACTACTTACCCCCATTATTCTCGCTTCCCGTCTAGCTGTAGTGTACCATGGCAGCTGAAGGGGACAGAACTTTCCGTGCTCAAACTCTAATGTTTAATTCTCCGATTCTTTTTCTGGCTTGAGGTCTAGATGTGACACACACACCGTAACTACCAAACAGACTACTTCTACCATATGACTATACCATCATACACATTACACCGCCTTAACAATATTGCAAATGCGATCGTCATTCCACACCACCAAAGTACACGTACGTATATTCACAAAATCGGTCAGAGGCTCCTCATTCCATATTCCATATTCCATATTCCTTTCTTCATGATGACGAGGCCTATGATGATGATGATATCCGCCAAGGTACATACATACATCCCTTATAGACTACGATAAAAAAAATTAAAATATGTATACTAGCCCTATATGAGTATTAGTCTATCAGAAGTAACTATTGATTAACTGGTACCGAGCAATGCTTAGTCCCTTCCCTTCCTTCTCTTTGCTTTTTGCCGATCAAATTAAGAAAGTATGGTCCAGGACGGACCAAGACCGACCCAAGAACCCAAGCATGAAGAAGAGTGGTAGGGTATAGGCTTGGTCGACCTGATAATCCGGATAACGGAACGGAACGTAAATTCATCATCAATCAATAATGATAATAATCATAATAAGAATACCTAATCCATGAATCACCCGTTGATTAGATGGAACCATACAATCGACACCTTCTATACTTCCTACATGAAACTCAAAAAGTCCGCGGCAAATCGGCACCGGCACGGCACCAACCACGCCAAGCTAAAAAAATGTTTCCCTGTCACGGGGATATTTCCGCCGCGCCCGGACCTCCTCTTACTTAGTTTAGTTTGATTTCTTGCCAGTTGCAAACTTGCAACAGGTTGCTACATGCTGCTACACCCCTCAATTCCTCATGTTCTGGGCATTCCTGTGTAACCAGTCGTCAATGGCATGCGACCGTTTTCTTTCACTTGAAATTGTTTTAAGGGGTGATCATCTCATGTGGGATGGAATCAAGATCAATTGATGACGACTACTGATCTTCCAACATAATTAAAAGAAAAAATATTGGGGGTTGTCGTATGAATGATGTTGCTCTAACTATCTACGCGCCGCCCCGATCAGGCGACGTGGATTGGTGGTGGGTGATGGGTGGTGGTGTTGATGTGATGAATGCTTAGCAGATGAGCTGAGCTGCCTCACCCCTGTTGATCACGCTCTCGCCCTGATTTTTCTTCTTCCTCTTCCTTCGATCGCTCTCGCCTCGTCCCACCGGACGCTAGTTAGATACTCACTAACAGTATTACTACCAAGTTTCCGACCCTGGCTATCTAGACTAGTAGTCTAGCTGGCTGGCCCGCCCGACCGACCGACCGACCGGCGACACCTGACTGACTGACTACTAGTCCAGTTATCTACTGACTGCCCAACCGAACTAACTAAACAGCTCTAGATGGTTCGATTTCATCTACTCCCTCACGGTCGCATCACTTCCACACACTAGAGGACTGTGTGTTACTCCCGGGAGGCAATATCTTCGAAAGCGGCATCGCATCCAATTATAACTGAGGGATTTTTGATTATCAGTTTCAAAGACGCCGACGAATACGGTCGCTTGGATAAACCCGTGCCGGTCGGTAGTGTATCAAAGCCATTCGGAATATCCGTGTTGATTCATTCTGTTGGCTAAAAAGCACGCCATAATCAATGAATACCCAAAGTCCATTCTGTGGGCTGGAACGAAGAAAATCATAGCAGCAGGTTCGGACTTTCAGATTCTCAACACCGTGTACTGAACATGGCATTTGTCAAGATCCGATTTCTCAATGATCTCGACCGTGCTCCGGCCGCTTTTGTTAATCTTTCCCGTCCAGACTGCAGTGAAGCTCTCCTTCGCTTGCAGGATGAGCTTGTGCAAACTGTTCTCCGTATCCTTCTTGTTTCCTCCGACCACTAGATCATATTCATGGTATTCCGTCTCGTCACCGAGGACGCTACTGGACAAGGTGCCCTCAGCTTTGCGGTTCGGAGTCACATAGAGATGTCCGTCCGAGTCCTTATCGGTGTCGGTATCCTCCACCAGTTCGAATTCATTCGTAGAGAACAGACAGACGTCGTCGCTGCCGCTGGTCACAATGATTCGTGCGTTGGGGATGCTGATCTCATCGGCTGTGGTATTCTCGCCTTTGATGGTGATGCCCGTCACTTTGCCGGATTCATAGGTGACGCTGGGGATGGTATAGTCAAGTTTTGGCGGCGGCGCTTTCTCAAATCCCCCAACTAGGCCTTTGGCTACATGGTCGATGAACTCCTGCACCGGGTCGGGAGGTGGAGAGCCACCGAACAAGTTCACAAACAGGTTGATTAGCATCATCACAACGCCAAGAACCGCGAGCACAGCCCCGAGTATGGGCAAAGCTGTGGCAAATACCCCTGTGACTGTATAGAGTCCAATGGACGAGCCCACTTCGACAATATCCAAAACCACGGTGAGTGTTTGCGAAAGCAGTGCGATCGTGTTGATGATCTTTCCTCCCGTTGTCAACTTGTCCCAGTCCTGGACCAAACTGTTTCTTGTTAGTGGACACCAGGTAAGAAACCTGCGGAGTGGAATGAATGAACCGACCTGAAGGTCATTGCGATAACTAGCCCAATACCCAAGAAAGCATTAAGGATCTTGACGGCATTCCCCGATACATTCCACTTAGACACTACATCCTCCCCACCAGCTGGAGTATTCTCTGGCGGTTTATCGGCGCCTTCGTTCCACCGTCCTGCGTTGTCGGTCTCCGTAGCTGGGCCCTCTGGGAGCAAGTGATCGCCCACAATCTCGTTGAATGTACCTTCGCCATTGACTTTGTCCGACATCTCAGCAAGGCTGCCCCCACTTTCCGCAACAGACTTTCCAACTCCCTGGTTCAAAGTCGCGGTATCTAAGGCGTCCTCTGGAGTGGTGGCAGTATCCCTGTTTTTGTAGTTGTTCCAAGCATCACGAGCCTGACTGATGCCATTTACAACAGTCTTTATCATCTCCAATAGCACCACTGCTTTCTTAGCGTCTTCCATGGTGTCCCAATCTGTGATAAGCCCATAGAGACTCGACGCAAGTTGAAATACGTAATACGCGACCTAGTGAACCTCGATTAGCTCTACCGGTCCGGTCCGATCGCGAAGAGTCACAATGACATGCCATGCCTATCGTAGCGAGCGGTTTCAGCTTCTTAAGCCCTGGCAAGCTATCCCCGATACCTTTCGTCACTTGTTCGAAGCCGATTTCCGCCAATTGAAACAGCCTCATGCCCTGCAACGCAACGGCAAGGCCTTTACCTACTGCGGTCAGCCACTTCTTAGCTTCTGCAAAGAATACCGCCCCCTTCTCCACGATGTTGCTGGCCCTGGCCTCGGCGGTCGCAGTCTGATCAAGTCCATTCGCCTTTTCAAACTCTTCTATGTCCTTTTCCAGCCCCTTGCGCACATCGTCATCAACGGAAGGATCTCCCTCAAGGACACGTCGAATAAGATCCTTCATCGAATCATGTAGCCACTGACCGGCCAGATCTTCATCTGGGTCAATGTATGGATAGCGGATATGTCGCTTACTGGCAAAGTTAACAAAATCTTCGAACCACTTATCGGCTAATCCTTCCGATGGTGCCAATGCGTCAAGGATACAGCACTCGCGGTTGATCACATTGACGCTCTGTGGAACATCGCATCAATAAAGCTCATAGTGTAGGTGCAATGTTTCTACTTACGCCTTGAATAGGATGTGCTAGATATGTCAACATTCGGCCCTCATCCTTCAGAGCGGCATAAAGAGTGCAGGCCCACTTCGTCGGGTTATCGTCGAGGTATTTATCAAGCACGTCTTTATTGAATTCTCGCACAGCTTCAAAAGAAGCTCGGCGATTAATTTCTGCATATTCCTTGGACTTTGAGAGACATTTGTCACCCTACATGGCAGCAATGACCTTAGCATTGTCTTCGTCGTTAGAAGTTTGCCTGTGACACAATACTCACATTACCGTCCCACCAGTATCGCATATTCTTCTTCTCCTGCTCCGTAAATTTATCTTCATACTTTTCATATCGCATGACTGACTGACATAAAAACGCCGGTGCGTACTTTTCTCGAAAGAATTTCTGCAGGTCTGACGGAAGGTCGTTTGCCAACCTCGAAGGTAAATCTTTGGGCTTGGCCTGGCCCGTCAAATCTTCACGCTGATCGTCATCCATGTGGTAGAACATCATCGATTTGATGAGCACTTGAGTCATGTTATGGATCCGTGCCGCGATACTTGGTCAGCTACGGAAACCCGTTCGTCCTGTTTGTCATGTTTAACTTACTGCAACCTCATCATAGCCATACGGATTGAGAAGCTCATCAACATTAGGCTCTTGCAGCAGATGCAGCTGTTCGGTCACATCTGCTGGCTGTAAGGCCGACGTGACCGAGGTCGGTGCAGTCAAGTTCGCACAATCTGCAAACGCTCTAGAGGTCTTCAATCGCATATCATAGATCTCAGAATCATCAATGTCTGAAGTCCCACAGATGAAATGCCTGAATATGTAAGCACCTGAAGCTAGACATATGGCACAGGTAGCTACCCACCTATCTCCTTTTGTGTCACGCATCAGAGGATTGTAGTCGAAGATGGCGCCCTTGACAGTGCGTAGGTCCACATCATAGTCGATATAAAATGACTGGAAAAGAATCGGAAGAGTAATATCAATCCCCAACTGGGACTTGAAATTCACATTCAGAGTGTTGACGTCCATTCCAGCATCGGAGATAAAAGGCACGACGCTTGCAAGGTTAAATTCCACGGTTGCTCTGGTCCTGCCGTCATCCAGTATTACCTCCCAGCTATCATACAGCCTCTCGAACTCTCGATTGTATTTTTCGTTGAGTCGATTTCTGAGCTCGTCAAGAATAGGTACCCTCGTCTCTGTAGTCTGGGATCCATCAGGTGGGTACAGAAAACCCCATTGCACATCCATACCGGATATGGGATCTTTCGGCTTGTCTATAGGTTCATCAGGTGCCCAAGTGCCCTTATCGTATTGCATTGAGACGTTGATTACAGGTATATATTCCCCTTCATCGCCGTTTCTCTTTCCGCATGCTTGCCGCTTTGTGTGGAATAGCTCGATATCTTCTGCTACGCTTGTCGGTAATGCCTCAAATGCCTGGACGTCCTGCTTTGGGCAGTTCTGTGGTTTATCCGTCGTAGATAACAGTACCACACCCTTACCCGACAGCCCGTGGGAGTAAAGGGATAGAACTCCATGCTCGAACATATTCTCCCGGACTCTGCGGGTCCATTGGAAACACCTCCTATGCCGATTAAGCTTGCATCTCATCTGAGGCTTGCCTTCTACAAGAATGCATCCGTCAATGACGCTAACCTCGGGGAGCTTGTATGTTGAGGGCAAACTACGGTCACCCTTTGCGCGTAACGAGAACTTTCTTTCTACCCTGTCCAAAGGGACGCCATTGGGGAGCTGTCGAGGGTTATATTTCATTGCCTTCAGTTGGTCGCTGGGAGAGACAAGGGTTGGAAAGATCTCCGATCGTGTGATTTGACCTCTTTCTATCTTCTCATAACTTCCGAAAAGCTCAAAACTCAGTCGCTCATGAATTGATTGGATGTCATGTTCCCTGAACGTAGAGCCAAGCTCATGGAATGAAGCAATGAGAGAGAGCCGCTTTGCTGTTGGGAGGGTACGGAGGGCACGGGCCGTGGATTCGATGGATTTCTAGTCGTTTTTTCAGCACTGGTCATCGGAAGATAACGACAGAAAATCTGTTTTGAGCTTACCGTCGGATCATCTATAGCCACTAGGTAGCCATTTGCGTGGTGTGATTGTTCGCCTGCCCAAAGCAGCACGCTGTAGATGGTCTGTTCCGATAAATGGCTCACCTGAATTGACTGTATCTCCACAGTCTCATAGGCGTAGTTTCCAGGTTCACCGTGAAGGCGAAAGACAAAATGTCCCTTTCTTAACTTTCCAAGCCGAGCAAGCGGGTTGTTTGCTTTAGCGGCTTCTGGATCTACCGCTCGGAGCCCAGTAGTAGTGTAAAATACCTGCGCTGGTGTCGTGAAGGGAGTTTCACCATCTATTCATATATCCATAAGATTAGAAGTTGTAAGGCATCTCAATGTATGTGAGTGAAGCTTACTAAATCCAACCGAGCACACCTTCGAAGTCTTCGACATTACGGCACTGTAGCCTTCGCAGCTATATTGCGGTCGCTGTGTCGATACAAGTAATCGGTCATTACTCGAAACATTCTCTATACACTTTGGTCCTCCTTGAGAGAGGTCTACCCATGTTCCAGGTAAGAGAAAGGAACCTGATCGTTCCGGTGAAAGAGAAAATTGATCTAGGCTCCTGGTCTGTCCAGTGACTAGGTATTGACGTTAGCTTTAACATCACGGTCCAGATAACTGTCGCTCAGAGCATTGTTAAAACTAAACCACTTACCCTTGTTAATCCAATCCATCAGAGCACCTATATCGTTTCTTGCCCACGCAGTGCGCACAGCGCCACACCACTTTTCCGGCATGATTTTATTGAAGGTTGTATGAAGCTTCTCAGAGTAGCTCATGAATTCGTTTATAATGGCAGCCTCATCGATCAGTCTGTTAAGACTCGCTTGGATGCTCTCCAGGTATGGGCAAAGCTCCGGAAATGAGTCTGTATCAATTGATACCTTCACTGCTTCGTAGAACAGCTTCAGTGCGTTGAAAGTCGTCATGGAACCTAGCACAGAACAATACGCCATCGTGGCAGCTTTGCCACAGTTCTTCACGATATTGTCCGTTCCAGCTTCACTGCGCTGGCCCTTCTCTTTCCATGCCACAAGGGACCAAGCATGTAGTGCTTTGAAACTAGGCCTGTCCTTCGAGAATATCTTCCATAAATCAAGCCGAGCGGTTTTATACTTCAGATAATCTGCAATTAGGAGGATGGAAATGCTGAACATATGATTACCTTCGGTTGGATCAGTCAAGGCAAGGTTGATAATGAAGGACTTTGTCTGTATTCTGTTGATGAAGTAATCAGCAAATCCAGGTGTATCCACTAATTCCCAAAGGCTACGATGACCACTCTGTTTGAACTTGTTGTTTAGGTGCTCTGCTAGGCACATTGGCATGAGCTGTCTGAGGACCATTGGAGTGAAAAACAACGCGTACTGAGAGTACTCGAAATCAGTTTGCCTCTCAGGGACAAGCGTCGGGATTGTGTGGACGAACGGACCGGAGTGAGCAGTTGTTCCTGGATGTATTGCCAGGCACCATCGTCAATATTGAAAAATTCAGAAGCAAGGAAATAACTCCCCAGCCTGCCAAATTCACGTCCTGTGTCCATGCCATCAAGCTCCTGGTTGTGACTTTCGTCGCCAGCAGGGTATGGTTGGTCAGTGTCAATGTACCTCCTCAGACTGTTGAAGTCACTATTCCAGCGAGCTCTGAAATGAATTCGGCGGGCAAATCCATCAAATGAGATAGCAGGGAGTGTCTTCAAATCCGCCAGAAGGTCCTCCCAGATAGCATCGAAGTCGACGATCATGATCACTGAGTATCCTATAATTGGGTCCGAAGCAGGACTAAAGTATGTGTGAGTAGGATTGAAGTAGAAGTAGAATAGAACTGAAAGATAGATTACGAAGTCATCAAGTTGGCTCAACGCGCCATGAGAGGTAATTCGATGAGAACATCTCTCTCTGGTCTTAATGCTACTTGAAGTAGCATTATCTTCAAATACTCAAGATTGACATCACCCACATGAAACACAACCTCTCAGGACTTCCTGGAACAAGACCATATGTGCGCGTATGTGGTGGTTGGTTTTCACAGTTCACAGCAAGCAGTTGACGAAGTTTCCATGGAAGGTGGCTGACTAACGGAGTCGCGAACCTGTAATTCAACGATCCAAGCCAGTTCTAGTCGCATCAATCGTACGATGCATGTCTGATTTATCCAATTACTCTGTATTCACATGTTATTAAAATATGGTGTGTTTCTGATTTCATGGTTCAATAAGCAATTGAGGCAACAGGATATCATCAATAAGCACTATGCTTCTAAGCAATCAAGCTCCCTGCTACAACACCAAAATAGCCATCTATGACCTCGCATTAGTATATTGTCATGGCTGATCAAGCTTCATCAGTATCCTCTTCCGCATGTGCAAAACTTTGCTCTTTCGTCAAAACCAAGTTGCGGGTGCAGAGAGAAAATGCAACCAGCGGCACGGTCAAGCAAATGCCGGTAATGCACAGCAGCCGCTGCGTATGCTTGTAAGCAGCTACCACGGCATCACGGTCCGGGGTCCCAATTGGGTAAGTAGTACTGAATGTGAACGGGTCCTTATATGCTTGAGCTGCCATTGTGGCGTTGCCGAGTCTACTATTCAACTCTCCGGGGAGAACTTGGGTCCAGACGGCTCCAGAAATGCTTCCTCCGATTGCAGTGCCGATATTGTAGCAGGCCAGGAATAATCCAGTGACAACGGCCAAGTCTTCATGATGTCAGTATTAGTCTAAGAGAAGACATAGGGAACTCACGCTCATGTTTGGTGGCAGCTTGGATGCTGGCTTGCGCAGGATAGGGAAACAATCCTCCAGCTAAACATACCTCGTCAGATTAATCAGACTTCCAATTGGTGTATCTAAGCTTACCAATCCCCAAAAGGATCTGGGCGCCAATTATCCCCGAATGACTCGACGATGTGGGCCCTCCACGGTAATAGATCAGGATTCCATAAGCCACCATGAACAACAATGTACCTCCAACGATAAATGGCTTGAGTCGCCTGACCTTGTAGACTACAAGGCCTAAAATGGATCCAGTGAGAACACTGGCAAAGCTGTGAAAGATCAGCTCAGTATAAGCGATCAAATCCCAGCAGCTTACCTATAAAGAGACCTGATCCTGGTTGCGCTTGTAATACTCTCACCAAAGCTAACAATGAGAACGGTGTAGAGATATTCACTTTGAAGAGCCCATGCTGCACCTCGTTAGACAGGTACTGGAAGTATATGCCCCCACTTACCAGTGTTCAGCATAACAGCAATTCCCAAGGCACCCCAGACCGCTCTATCCTTTAGAAGCTATAGACCTGTTAGTATCAGGAAAATCCAGACCATACACTGGCTGCCTACCTTGAATGGGACCATAGGATGCTTGCAGGTTCTCTCCCAAATAACCCATGCGGGAATACAACACAGCCCCAAAACGAGAGGAACGATAATCCTTGCTTTCTTCCACTGGGAATCTAGGCCGCCCGCTATCGTGAGAGGAACCAAGATCATGGCAAGAAAAGTGATCATCAGGATAATACCAATCACGTCCAGTTGCCAAAACAACTCAATCGCCAGTCGCCGAACACCCAACGTGCGAAAGGCGCCTGCGATATGATCCACTGTACCATCCTTCTTCGCTCTGTGGTACACTATGTAAAGGACCATGAGAAGAGGGAGCGTACAGACTGAAACCTGTCAGAAATTGACTGACTCATGTGAGAATGTACTCACTAGGATAGATTATCGCAAACATGCCGATTCCCCAGCGCCAGGTAGTCACTTTCAGCACAGCCCCAGTTATGTTTCCACTAATCCAAGTGTTGATCTACCGGCATCAGCTGGGTTCAAATACTTCATGTCTTCCAATTTGTTCAACTTACCAAAAATGGGAGTGTTGGAATATATGAGAACAACAGACGGGAGCGAAGCGACGTGACATCCGCAACCAAAACCTCGACCAGCAGGATAATAGCCGTGTATCCAATCTATTGCACATCACAATGTTAGTCGACAGGTAGCAGCATCTGTGTAGCTAAGTCGGACTCAACTCACCTGGTAAAGCACAGCGCCCGCAGCAAACTGCTCGACCGTACTTGAAGACGCCTCAACAATAGTGCCTAATTGAGTGTTAGAGCACACCGACTCATAATTAATTGCACTCAGTACCAAGGGTATAGAAAAATATCGAGACCAAAATCAACTCCACTCTCCCAAAAACATCGGCGATCTTAGCTGCAGTCGGCTGTACAATAAATCAAATTAGTTGCTGAATTGGAGACACATGGGCCACGAACCTGCGCTGCTGCTGCAATGACCGCTCTGAGGATATCGACACTCGATAACACACTATGTGATTTATATGATGCCGTAGCGTATGGCTAGAGGACCATGAGCATTGATAGTTCGGTGAGCATGCTGGCGGAGGCCAACCTGATAAGTGCCCCGCAATAGGCTATCGAGGCCGTAGACATAGGCAATGAGAAATATACCACAGAAGAGAAACACACGGTCGAGGATATGTAGGTGAGATGAAAGAGCCTCGATCCGCTGGACACCTGGACTTCCAAGTCCTGGTGTTACGCCAGGACCTTGCGCGTCATGAGCCGAAACGGGAGTCTCGGCGGCATGAGAGCTCTCCTTATTATTGGACATTGTAGCTCTGGCCTGATTCTTCTGTCAGGTATCCGGAGGGAGCTTTGCAGATGACAGCAGAGAAGTGGTATGAAAGCGAGTGGGGGATTTGAGGGGATAAAAGAGTGTCGGACGGTGGTAGGAACGTCAGCGGCCATCATCCCAGCATCAGCTAACACCTATGTGACGGGAATAAAATCCCTCTTTCATCCATTTGGTAAACAACTTACTCTCTATCTTATCTGATGAAAGAGGTTGGAGTCTGGAAAGACCCCACTTCAATCTGATAAATATGCTACATTACTGTAGTTACTCTGCACTGAAAGTAGTCACATGAACCGGAATTTCCTCATACTTCGTTTCGAATCGCCGATCGGCGAGAGCAAGATATGCTGTGTCCATCCTCTCGTTAGTGTTGCAGCTGTAATATCAATAATATCATGATGAGCAGCTCTCTCGATTTGACGCAAATCCGAGTGCTACTTTCGTCATGTGCATATGCTCAGGTTATATCACCACATGGCGCGTCGCTTCTGGATGAGGCCATTTTACAGATATATGCGCCTAGCTAGCGTCATGCTGAGCAGTTGAATGTTATGGAGCAATCAATATGACATACCCACTTCATGTATATTCAGCGACCCTGGGCAAGTATTATTTGCCCATGAAGATACCAAACCATTGAAAGTCATCAAGTCACCCAGGCCACCCGACCGAGTGACATCGTTTCAATCACTCCTCGGAAATGACAACCGGTTCTCTCTAAGAAGTCCAGTCTTGTGGTACGTATGATGGCTTGCCGATCGCGTTTTCGGATCACCATTGTTATGCATGGCATGACAAGTGTCAACGAGTCCCTTGTGTACCCTGGCCCTTGTGTTGAGGGTGTGGAATGTTACACAGGCCAGTGTCTTAGTATTCTAGGCATCAATAACATCCAACAGGAGTCTGTTGAAATGTTGAAGTGTGATGGTGTATCTCGCATTTGAGGACGAGATAGTACAGTTACCAATAGAAAAGTAACTCAAGAATGAAGACTTCCTTTAACAGAAGGTAATACTAAACTGCCCTATGATAAGAAACAATCATGGACAAGATAGAAGGGTGGGGAAAGAAGAATGGGTCCATTCGTCTAGTAAGCCGGGTGGAGTAAGGTTGAAAAAAGGAAAACAAAAAAAGAAATCACATTGCATCATCCGTGAATCGAACACGGGCCTCATCGATGGCAACGATGAATTCTACCACTAGACCAATGATGCTACTTGATTGAAAAGAGCTGCAATATTTTGAAACATAACCTAGCAAATTGTGAGGTACGCAACTCCCAACAACGATCGTCATCCACCGCACACAAGATCACGGCATACCCTTGACCATCTGACCTGACGTGTACATTTTAGATTTTATTAGGTTCTACGGTACCTAGAACATCAGGTCACCCTTCTAAGCTTACTTTGTGCCAGGGATGTAGATACCTACTACTAACAGTAAACCTTTTCTGATCATCGTTTCCAGCGGAGAGGTTGGTGACATATTTTATCGCCAGGGGTGGTGGCACAAGTGTTACACAATCATCAATTTCGACAATCCAGGCTATGCAAGTCAAAGCCCAGTTGGGAAAATATCATGCGTGTTGCTAAATACAGGGATCTTTATAGGGAACAGGTACTGCGGCGCTCTAGACACAGTGAGGTGAAGGACAAGAAGAGGTTATAGTACTCTCCAACTTGCAGAGCATGTTCGAGCACCGATCGACAAGCGCGTTTACCACCAGTGGCCGGCTCGCGATTGTAATAAGCCTATTTATTCCTGATAGTTCACATAATGCCCAGAAAAGCCTTCCGATAGCCTGATGAAGCCTGGCTCCAATGACCAAGTAATACCAAGAAGAACCTTGATAGTCGGACATCTCGCCGAACCTTAACCAACTATCCTTGTTTTCCAGAGGCGACAGCAAGAGGTTAACACTATTTTTTGCCAGCACAGAAAATGCACAATGCCCTGCAAGTGATAGGCAATTCCTAGCCGAAGGGTGGAATGTGCTAGTGGATACCTATGGTTTTCCTGATGCGGCTGCTCGCATTAACTTCTCCTGCGTATCTAGAGGGTGATGGGGCCCTGGTATCATGGTGCACTATAAAAGCAAGAAAAAATTGTCAGATCCCCGCGAGTATTGACAATGGAAACAATCCGAAGTTGCATTGCGCAGTTATTATATTGAAACCGGGCGACATTGATCCCTAGATCTTGCCCCACACAGTTTTAGTGGCCCTTCGCCATTTTCGCTATGGACGGAATCGTGAGAGAAGCACTCCAAGGGCTTTCAGGTATTGTCGGAGACAAACTCCTATCTGATCAAGCAACCTTAGCCAAACGTCCAACAAAAGAGCAGCTGGTCAAATTGTTGAAGTCTTCTCCGCCTGACCAAGGGAGGTCACTGGAAGATGTTGTGAAAGAGTTCGAAGATATTCTCTCCTATCGATTCAACGTCAATCACCCAAGATTTTACGCCTTTGTACCCTCGACAGCCTCTCCTCTATCGTGGCTGGGAGATGTCATTTCGACTGCCTTCAACAATTACGCAGGAAGTTCGGAGTCGGGTTCCGGGATTTGCGCGGTAGAAGAATCCATCATTCGCTGGGTAGCCGAAAGGTTTGGACTGCCTCCATCAGCAGGGGGACAGTTTGTGTCTGGTGCCTCCCTTGCTTGCCTTACTGCATTGACTGTTGCACGGGACCAGCTTGTGGAAGATGACATGCGCACAAAAGCAACAGCATATGTGACAGAGGAGACGCACTTCTGTATAGCAAAAGCGCTCCGTATAACGGGCCTATTAAAGCACCAGATAAGAACGGTTCCCTGCAATGCCGAATTCCAAATGGATCCGGAGAGTCTTCGCCGGGCTATCACCCAGGACATCGATAACGGGTTAAAGCCGTATGTGGTAATCACAACCTGCGGCTCGACCAGTACTGGAAGTATTGATCCCCTTGATGCGATTGCAGACATAGCCGCAGAGCACAGAATGTGGATACACGTCGACGCTGCTTATGGAGGATCAGTTGCTTTCTGTGAATCGCGCAAGGATCTTCTGCAAGGTATCGGCCGCGCTGACAGCATCGCATGGGATCCTCACAAGTGGCTCTTCCAAACCTACGGTTGTAGTGTTATTCTTTTCAAGGACAAGACCCATCCAAGGGAAAGTTTCGCCACAACCGCAGACTTCTTACGTGATGTCGAAGACGGCTATGTTGAAAATCCCTTCAACTTTGGGATCGAATTGACACGGCCAGCTCGTCACATGAGGCTCTGGTTCTCACTGCAAATTCTCGGGACAGACATGATCGACCGGATGATTCTGCGCGGATTTGAACTCTCGGATCTCGTTCAGACTGAGCTGAGCAAGCTCATCGAGTGGGAAATCGTCACACCTAGTAACATGGCTGTTATCAACTTCCGTTTCAGTCCGCCTGGAAAGAGTGCAGAGGCCATCGATGAGATTAACAGCCTTGTATCCAAGAGAATGGCGGCTCAGAACATCGCAATCGTGCTCACCACTCGCATTCGCGGGGTTGTCTGCCTTCGTATGTGTACAATCAACCCACAGACCACAGATGACGACATTCGCGATATTGTCGGCGCTCTGGATCAGAATGCACGACTGATTAGCAAAGGAATCATATCGAAATAAAGAACGCTAGGAGATTAAGTACTATACTTACTGCTCTAACCAGGGTTGTTTCATAGTCTCATCTAGGTTGAAATGAGGGGGAAAGTGGGTGTAGGTTGCGTAACAGTTGTCGCGTTTGACATTAGTGCTGTAAGGTTGATCTGATCAGTCGATTTCTAGTTGAGCGCAATACATGTCTTGCTGCGCCATCGTGGACCAACACAAGCCTGTCTTACTACACGAGGTCTGAATAAAAAGATACCATAATCACCCTGGACACAAAAACTGCAAATAGCGAAAGATAAGAAGAAATCTTGTATGGTAAAACAGTATCAGCTGATGGGTATCGTGTTTCCGTTCAGCCTTTCGAAGCGAAACCCTTTGCTAACTAGCCCGCCCGACTTCAACCAAGCATTAAGCTCGCTCGGGTGGACGACATGGAATATCAGCATGACCGCAAACATAAGCAAAGCGTCAAATACATAAAGGTACGCCTCGTGAGAAAGCAAATATCCTCCGAACCCTTCGATATACTCGATGAGACGGTAAATCGACCGCACAAGGATGAGCACGCTAGCTGAGTATAACACCCAGATAAGCTTCTTCCAGTTTATTTCAAGGGAGTACGGCGTCGGACTTTGTAGCATGCGACGGTGGAAAAGTGCGGTGGTGATGATGAAAAAACCGAAGAAAACAATCTGGACGACGAGACCGACAACGATGATATGCGACCCGTTTTGGGCACCGCTTTGAGAGTGAGTACCCATGAGACCAGCTCCTGTGGGTAGAAGATTGAGAATTTAGCAGGTGTTCGTAGCATTTGCTCGGCAACTGCAGAGTTGTCCCTACCTCCAGCTTGAAGAAGAAATGATAAAACGTCACCGGTGACAAAGATCTTGGTCAACCATTTCACTCGAATGAGACTGAGATTCTGAGCATGGAGAACAACGATCAACCTCCCCAATTCCATATATATACTAGCCGCGAAGAGAGCAGGCGCAACCAGAGGTAGCAGCGAATTGATCAGGAAAGGGCCCAGGGTCCAATTGGGGGATTGATTGCAAGAGACGGCACGGGCGCAGTAGCCTACAAACTCAACTGCAGTGATTCACGTTAGAAAAGATCAGTATCCTTGTATACAGTTCATCTTGCTTACAGTATCCCCCGATGAGAAACGGTATAAAGAACCATGTTTTCGTCCGGATGAGCTGGAACGTATGCAAGAGCGTGGTTAGCACGAAACAGATGATGAATATCACCGCCGCTGCTAGAGACGGGTAATAATAGTAGTATTCAAAGCCTGAACGAATTGCAAGCCCCATTTGGTTCAAACTTGAGTCTCCTCTCCCTGGACTACTTCGAACGTTTCCTTTTGAAAGAAATATGCAGTTCAGCGCGGAGAAGTCTGGGGCACGGGCAGGCCAGCTTTAAAAGACATCATTCCGGTATGATGTGGGCATAATCACCCATTCGAAAACTATGCCCTTTTCAGAAAGAGAAACGTTATCCAAGAGATAGCGAAGGCCCTCAGGTCCCACTGGACGCGTTCCCGATCTGAGCATAATTTCTGTAGGCGATACGCTTAGTCATTGAATTTCGGTTGAGATCGAATTATTATTAGCCAGCGAGTTGGGCATATCGATGATTGTTGCTGCGCTTCCGTGGTTATGCAGACCGTTCATCTCACAGCCAGGGGAACAAGAATAGATGGGTGGAACCAAAAGCAATTGCTGATTAGCTGCGAAGAATTGGTTCCGATGCCGCTTCGAAAACTATTCCGGAAAACGAATAGTTTACGGGTAAAGTTGATGCCTTAGGCCTAAACGCCGAGACGCTGGGATTTCCCCAGACTTCGCTTCCAGCAGCGCACCACATCGGCACAGAGCGACGGTTGCTATCTGCATGGTCTAGGGAGATTAGGTAAATGGCATGCCATCTCGACGGTCTCACACCAAATCCCATCACGGCTGTGCCCAGTGCAAACATCGTCGGATAAAATGCGACGAGTTTCGACCGATTTGCAGCTCGTGCCATAAGAAGCACATCAGATGCTCATTCGAGGGCGAATTCACCCCCCAAACATTGCATCACGGCTTTGCTGCCTCTAGTACCCGTGTCGATCTCATCCCGAGAAACGACAGCTTCCAGCTCCCACTGCTGGACTTGGAGCTCCTGAATCACTGGCACGTGGCGACCGTGCGGACACTGGTACACGACAAATCCACAGAGAAGGTGCTGCGAGAATTCGTCCCACAGGAGGCTCTATCGCATCCGTTCTTAATGCACAGTCTATTGGCTCTATCTGCACTTCACCTAAGTCACCATGGTCCTGTCGACAGAAGACACAAGTACACTGAGGCCGCCATGACACACAACAACCATTCGCTATCTTTGTGTAAGCCTCTTCTAAACAATGTGACTTCGGGAAACTGTCATGCTTTGTTCGCGTTTGCATGTTTCGTCGTCATGTTTTCGTTTGCTGCGCACGGACCAAAGGTCGACCCGGGAGCTCAGCATCTGTCAGCTGTTCTCGAGGTCTTCATGTTAATTCGGGGAGTGGCTTCAATAGTGGGACAGGCTCGCCCATGGATTGAAGCAGGTGGTATGAGAGATTTACTAAATCTCGGCGAGCAGCCGCGTGAAGAATCGAACACCGCGCATGCGCGGGAACTATATGCTCGCGTATCGGACATATATGACAATCTGAAACGACCTTCTCGTCCGGGATGCTACGATGGCGAGAGCCTAGTGATTGAAGAATCCGTTCAGAAATTCCTTGATCTGCTGCAACAGGCAATCGGTGTAGCAAACCCGGCTCCTTCCATTATGATGAGATGGCCTGCCGTGATAAATGCGAAGTATTTGGATTTGTTACAGGCAAATCATCCCACCGCACTGGTGGTACTTGCTCATTATGGTGTTGCACTTGAGCTGATGGCTGAGAATTGGTGGTTGGATGGATGGGGTGCGTTTCTGGTGAATACCGCTTTGTATCGTTCGGGACCACATCCTGGGCCAGAGCTTGTTTGGGCCCGGGAAGCTTCAAGGCGGAAGTCATAACGGAAGCACCTTTTTTTCAGTCATCAACCGAAGACTATCGTGAGAGGCCGCATAGTACCTTTCCCCAGCTCCGCAATTCTATGAGGGACACCATTCACATTTCCCCAAGCGCCAGGGAAATGACATGGGGCATGCTTTCGAAGAGTTACGCCGCATCTATGAATGCGAAATAGATCAAGCGTCAACCCCGAGAAGAGGATGTTCCAGGTGGCCTGAGTTTCCTGCCAATAGGATACATGGATCCAGTAGCTCGGTCTTATCATAGTAATGGCTCAGTGGTACTTGAGAATACCTCAGCATGGCTTAGACCCAATAACCCAATCCTGCTCATTTGATACTGCTGGCACTGGATTTTCCCACCATTCTGAGATTCACTGGGGAGTTTGAGGTGTGTTTTGGTGAATAGGGCAATTTTTGTATTTATTAGGGTTTATTCTAGGGGACTGTTTATCATTTCTTAATGTCTTAAGCTCATCGTGGTCAAGATTATAGTTGAGTTGCAAATCAGGTTGCAGCTCGGCATGGTCTGGAATTAACTCGGCGTGGTCTAAGGGTGACTAAACTCATCTAACTCATATAACTATCAACCATTGACCATATTCCAGAGAATTTCACGATGTATTAAGCTTCTAGTATTCTGGCTAAAAGATTCTTCGATAGTTACAATTATTTTGACCTCATCATGGTGAAGGAATTCTTTTCAACCTAGGGGAGTTATTGGTAGGTACCTACCTTTAGACCACGCCGAGCTTTGAACCCCCTAGACCACGCTCACCTTTTTCTAAAATACTTGGTCAAAACTCAACTAAATCACTAAATACTACACTCTACCTTTCCACTGTTTTCGGTTTAATGAAAATTTTTCAGAGTGTACTTGCAAGACATCATAGCGATCAAATATCCAATTAAACTTTTTTTTATTAGGGAATCTTCATCGAATTTGTATGTTTTGAGCTCATCGTGGTCAAGAATCATCCTGAAACTAAAATAATATTATGGGTCCTTAGACCACGATGAGCTGTGAACCTTTAAGACCACGCTCACCTTTTTTCAGACCACGATGAGCTGCAAACAGATCTACATACTCTTCGCATGATCATGTTGCACAACCAAGTCAAGCCCATCCTTTGCTTTGCGAACCGAGCACCTCTGTATGTTCAAATCCGCTCTTGCTAGCACCTTGTCTTGAGATAAATCAACGCGCAACCAACTCCACCATAAGAGGCGACTTCATCCAAACAGCATAAGTCTCCTGATCCTCCCACTCACCCAAAGCCTCTCGTCCATTCGGCAATACGAAATCGAAGTGATAAATCAGATATCCAATCACAAGCGACATCTCCAACCGTGCCAGATTCTGTCCAATACAGTCCCGCGGACCCTGCAAGAAAGGTTGTATCGCGGAGCGCCGATCGTTAGCGAAGCGACCCTCGTCGGGGTTCAACCACCGTTCCAAATGGAAATTGGTGGGATCGGAAAAGTTTCGGGGGGATAGGCCTGCAGCCCATGAGTTGTATGATACTTTGGTCTGTATGGTTGATGCATTAGCCTTGTGTTTGAGGGGTTCTCAGAAGCGTCATGGACACTTACACCCCCCGGGAAGAATTCTCCACACACGGTATGTCCCCCACTGGGAATAAGTCTTGTAATTCCCAGTGGCACAGGGGCGGTTAGTCGGATACCCTCCTTGATGGCTGCATCCAAGATTGGTAGTTTCGATAGCTTGTTCGCGTCCAAATCTCTCTCGTCGGGGAAACTACTTCGAACCTCTTCTGTCACTCGGGCCAGGGCTTCGGGGTTCTTCAGTAAATGGAACAGGATCCCCGTGAGTGAGGACTGGAGGGTATGGCTTCCTGCGAAGATAAAGGTGCCCGCGTTAATTTCCATCTCGGGTTCTGTAAGCTCGTTCTTCGACTTGAGAAGGTATGAGAAGAAATCCGGTCGGTCTACTGCTGTATGTAAGCGCTTTTGGACCTTCTCGTTGGTCATGGCCTGATGCCGTTCCACCATCAATTGGGCAGATTTTGGTAAGCTCTTGACTAGGTAGTTAAAGAGCCATGGATAGAAGCGAAAAGCCGCAATTTGCACTTTGCCTTTCACGGAATTAACCACCATCCCGACCCATTCGTGGTAACTATCATTATCAAGGCAGCCAAAATCCTCCCCGAAGCTCAGTGAGCAGATGATGTCGAATGTGCAGTAAGTGATCCATCGCTGAAGGTCAACTATTCTCCTCGATGGGTCGGAGCTATTTGCCCGCGACTTTAATTGAGCGATCATTTTCGAGACGTATGAAGTTACCAGTGGCTTTTGGGCGTTCAAGGCCTGTGTACTAAATGCGGGAGCATATGCTTTCCGAATACGCGAGTGGTCTTCATCTTCCACGTCTAGAATGTCGCCGGGCTGCCCAGGCTGTGGAGGCTTCTGGCGGATCGGATCCTTGGGTAGCGCCTTGTAATTGGGGTTGGTGGGACGACGGCTGTAGATGTCTTTGATGCAATCGGGATCCAAGAATGACACCTCATCTGGAGCCACGCGGACAGTATCGCCATATATATTGTGGAACCTTTTGATGTCGTGAGCCAGCCGACCCGACCGAAAGGCGAGCATATAAGGGAGTCGCGTCAGCGCCCAGAGCCGTGGGCCATTGTAGCGGGAGAGAGGATGGAAGTAGAGCCGTTTTATTGCTAGGAGAACGGGCAGCTGGAACGGATTAGTCCATAGCCACTAATAGGTAGTTAAAGGCCGAGAGAATATTGTACCAGCAGGACCGTTACGACGGTCGCGTAGACCGAGACGTTGAGCGCCATTGCGACGGATGCAGAGCTGGATGAATCATGATTGATGGGTGGGTGGGATCATTTAAATGCGGCTGATTGCTGCTAACCATCTGCCAGCGTCCCCTCTGTTGGCGGGGGGCAGATTGGGGGCCCTTTTTAATTGTCAAGAATGGGGGAGACAAGGCAATGCGACTGGGCGGTGTGTTCCAGCATGCATGAACAGCCTGGTGCAGTGAGAGGCATCACCTGCACCTCGAATACTGATGTAGGACTAGTTGACTTTGGCATTTCAGATATGTGGTCACTGATTGGGTGCCGAGAGGACTGGCTTACTAGTGCTTATGCTTACGTCTTGGTGGTCCGCATGTCACATCTCACGCCTGAGCGGGCCAGCAGTCCCACAAGCATTATGAGATCTCACAGGCGTGCTCGCTTCGCCCCAGACTTTGATCACTTACTAGTCCATAAGCAAGTAGAGGCGGATTGAAGACAAAACTGAGTAGTCATGTCGTTTGCGCAAAAAGTTTCGCTATCATCACACCATCATTGCGTTGCTGCTAGCTTTGAGTGCTTCCGGTCGGCGGCATGTGCTGTAACAAGTGTGATTGTTCCTCCCCGCACTTGACATCCGACATCGCATCGCCACGAAGAACGAAGAGACTTGGTCAGAAAATGCATGATGTCAAATACGGGAATAAAGAGCTGCACCAAAGTATGAGGAGTTGTTGACTGGCAACCATCTGGTGACAACACATCTAAAGTAAATGACTTCGCGCCATGCTCTCCATTGTCCTTGACTAGTCGAGCTATTCGGGTCGATATGGCAGTTAGCCATGTCTCTGCTACTATTTCGCGAAACTAACCAACTGGAAAATGCACGAGAGAGTCAAATATTGATAAATACATCCGTTTTCTAGAGTAGCCCCTGATAGCATTTAAAATGATGCTAGAGAACCTGCAAGGCAATGCAAGTCACTGACGTGGAACGTTATCTATCGCAGACTTAGCTCAACTAGTTGCAGCTTGATTCTATTCAAACGGCCAATCTATCTAATGAAGACAAACATCACCCCCATCCATCCTACTCCTCTCTGTGCACAGCCGCAACCATTGCCTTTCCACTAAGAAGATATCGAAGCAATCTACTCAATGCACGTGTAGCTTCAAGCCAATCTTCTTTCAGATATAGGTTATACACCCGCGTAAATTCCAAATCAAACTCCTCCGCATCCGAGTATCCATGTTGATATACCCTAGTAATCCGATCTTGCGGAAAGAATCCACGGCATATATGAAGATATGGCCCATGGAGACCAACAACAAAGACTTCCTGGGTCTGAACTCCGCCATGTGAACCATGTGTTAGATTCATAGTCAGATGTCCCAGCATGGTGCAAATTGTATCTGTCAAAAGTTCATTCCAAATTTGTCCCTTGTACCACTATATTCCATTAGAACAACCACCTTTTGCCCCAAGAAGTAATCGATAAAACTTACCCCAGTAAAAGAGACTACCGGTATAAATTCAGCTTGCGTCCCAACATGAATATTACCCTCTAGTCGAGCAGCATATTGCATCCTTCCCACGACATATTTCACGTCACGCTGGAATGGCAAGGCACTAGAGATATGTTACCATCATGCTAACCACACCCATCATCCAACATAAAATGTATGACATATCACTTACCGAAGCCTCGGCGCTTCATCATCCAAACCCTCAAGTCTACAATAGATGTTTCGCATCAACTCGGCAATAATATGGCTCTGTATATGCATAGAAAACCCATGCATCGACCTGTCACCAACCCTCCAGCTTTTCTTAGGTAACGTGATGGTCTCGCTAGGCTTCAAAATACTAGATATCCTGGCTTCCTTGCACAGGATCTCTGAAATCGTATTCCCACGTCCTTGATCTCTTATGTAGTCGACGAGATGAAAAAACAAATCTTGGAAGAGATGCTCTTCTTCCGGCCAGTTCAGTGTGCAGTCCCAGTCCATGAGGTTTGATTGTTGGAAGACACAGGGGATGAAATTTCGGACATCTTCATCTGATATCATACGTTAGCAGAGCGTAGTTGGATTTGAAGGAAAAGGTCTGCAGTAGATACCTTCGCGTTCGCGGTCAATGACTCTAGGTATTAAGCAGTCAAGCTCGACCACTTTTGAGTGGATAGTTATCGGCATCTTTAAAGGTGTAGGAAGCAGATCAGTAAGTTGTCAGTCAGTATGTTGATGACTTTTGTGTGGGTTTGCAGCGAGATAAGAGGCGTGCGATGGCACCTACTGAGCCGGCCTTGAGAGAAATCGCAGGTGAGACAAGCTCTGTTTCTAGGTCGCGGTATTTCCCGGTCGTACAGACCACTAATTCTTTTAGACTGGGGTGTTTGTATTATATAATTCACTGAAATAATTATGATATCTGCTTATCGTGCTAAGGTGAAGGTTCGGAATGGTCCGTTATGTCATTGTAATTCATTAGACTGTATTATCGCATGTTGACTCGACACGATTTTTGCTAGATGTCAGAAGTGCCAGCGCCCAGCAAGCTAAACATATTCTATCTGACTATTTGAAATCCGAAGCAGCAGTGTCAGAGTGAAGTGCATAATGACAGCCTTAACGATGATTGTTCACTATGTGTTTGTTATGAATTTTCGTGTAGTTTATAACATAGTTGTAATAATTTCGTCTTTCAGCCTAAATGGTGTTGTAAATATGAGAACTTGAAAACTCTATTCCATAAATATATAGAAATTAGTGAGAAATTACCTTTAATATGGAGTTTCATCGCAAAGGGGATGAAAGTGACGAATGGTACACGGAGAGCGCTTCTGTGAATTTGTAGGGGAAAGACTAAAAATACATATAGGAAACTATGATGTAATCAGAGAAGAATATTTCAGGACGTAAGTCCTGGCATCATACACATAGTTTGATGTCTAGAGTGTGGATGTAGATAGATAGATAGATCTAAAGTAGTTTCTATTATCCGTTTGGACTGATTACTCCTTCAGCTAAGCATACACACTAAAAGAGGACTCATCACATTTACGTTAGTATTGGGTGGTTTCGCGCGATAGCTTCCTGCAGCACAGGCCTCGCGACATAGTTACGGCTGCATTGCATCTGCAGAATCGCTGTTCATGCTTCCACATATGCTGCAGAAGAAGCCGACGTGGTTTCCATACATCGTCAGGTGATTAGTAGTGACTTGACTGTTCCTCTAAATATACATTACAATGAAAATACGGTAATATACGAAAAGGCAGTCTGAATTTGAATTATTTACAAAGAATGTACTCTCATGCGAACAGGTAGAGGTCACCATGACCTACTTCACTTAGTCTGGCTATCCAGTGCAGCGGCGAATAAGTTAATCAGCTGTACCAAGATGTTAGAAATCGTGACATTTTTATATTCAGCAGAAGCAAGATAGAGTATACTTACATACGAAGAATATTGATTATCTCCGCCAGCTCTGCGGAACACCTCCCGCCGCTCATCCAGCTGGTCTTGACAACAATAGAGCACCTCTTGTAATTCCTTGTTCATCCTGAGGTTACTTAGAAAGTTCTCTGCATTTGCGTCATTTCCAACCCGTGAGATGAGAAATATTGCACCCGCTGGCTGCTTGGAAAGCCGGGTCAATTTCTTCTTGCACTCCAAGATGGTCTCACCAAAGCAATTCTCATCCTCACCATCTGGCTAACGTAAATCACATATTGGTTAGCCCGATGACAACCTTGCAGGAACTTTGCACCACTTACGTGTCCATCTGTTACGACGATAGTAATGACCGGCTTCGCAGAAAGGCCATTCTCCAATGGGTCGAAGATAAGAGGCTGGACAATCTTGGTTCTGAGCGCGTTTCCCAGTCTGGTCCACCCATAATATTTGACCTTCTTCATGTGGTTTCTGATCTCAGTTGGTGACAGCTTATTCAGCTGCCGATCTTCTGTGCTGTTCAGAAACCGAAGATACACGTCCTGGTCTTGTATCGCGCTGGCAATTTCGGCAACACGTTGACAAGTATCTTCGAGAGCCCGTATACGAGCACCCTTTTTGCTTTTCATTGAACTGCTGTCATCTAACTCAAAAGCTTAGCGTGGGAACAAGGGATCTGTTAAGGGGTAGAAAGCGTACCGCAGAGGATCACGAAGTCGTATAAGGCCATAACGGCCAACTTCGGCGTTGTCCCGGGTTCCAAGTCGTATTTTTGTGTGAGATCCTTGGCGCGAACAGCCGCACTCTTTACTAGTTCCTCCACGTATGGATCCCCAGGTTGGTAATACGACTGGAGATAATGCTCGATGTAACCCCAGACATACTCTCGATACTCCTCCTCAGTCTCGGGTATCTTGGGCGCCAACATGCGCGATAGTGGTGAGTTTTCGGGCTGTTGGATTCCGAGATGTCTACTGAATTCGGTGAGAAATTGGTCGACAACCTCGGCAACAATCTCATTGATAGTATCTTCGTGCTCGTCGCCAACACTTGAGGATTCGTACCCATCAAACTCATCGCTGTACTCCGAACCCATGACTGACGGCCTGACAATCGAAGTGATTGTTACTGGTCTCTTGAGTGTTGGTTATAGTTGTGGACTCCATGTATTCGACCATCTTTTCTGCCTTCGGCCCGACATTTTTAATGTCATCGCCGCAAGGTTGCCAGCACACAATACCCCGATAAGGTAGCCATATATCGTGTGCGCGTGACTGAGTTTCGGGGAGCCCAAATATCGTGTAGCCAGCTTTCATGCTAAGATGGAGGTTGTAGGGCGTTCCTCAAGAAGCGGCTGAGGAGATTTTGGGTGCCGAAGAATGAATATGGAACAAAGTGTCGAAGCAAACGACAACTGACAGGTGGGGTCAGGGCGGGGCACGCGGCGGGGCACCTATGATATCACGCATGTATAACATTCTCCCCCCGACGTTGCGCGGCAACCGCGGAGAAGCAACCTTCCATTCCCAATGTATGGCGATATATGGCCTACTAATGAGTACAGTTATTCCTGACAACATATTCTGGGACAGCCTAACAGGCTGTCTTGATGCCTGATGTCGGGAGTTTCGGTCGCTGCTCTTCAAATCTACCTCCATGTCCGGCTTTATGTGGCCGATTCGAAGGTTGAGTTCGCCAGATGTGCTCACCCCCTGTTACTGTCGATATGCGCCTGACTCAATATCTGCTAATGTGAAGAAGACATCTGGAAATTTGATGAAACTCGATGACATCACTACTTATCGTCTGCCCGAAACATTACATGCAAGCAAAATGCAGTGCTGGACTAGTGGCCAATCAACGCACTCAGACACAACGCTCAGCCTTGCGCTACATAAAGAAGATAAAGGGCAAGCTCTCCGTGGGCCGATAGCGTGGAGACACGTCGGCCATTCTGCTGGCATACCCCCAGTTGATATGCAGTGTGTCCGCAAATGTGCATATTATTGCCTGCAAATGTTCCGGCTGATGTCCAGTAAGGGGCCTTCCTACGAGATGCATCTGTATGAGGCACACCAATCCACACCGCTTCTGATCAGCTGCCTGTGCGAACTCCCTGCCAGTTTTTGTTTGTTTCATGTCTTCTCCATGCCAATGCAATCACGCCCAAATACCCTAATCAGACAATGAACTGCTGACTACCTAGGGGATTACTATGTACTTCGTGCCCTAAACCACCTCCCAATTCCCGACCAAAGCAAGCAAAAATTTCTTCAGCCCTCGAGGCTGAAGATCTCTGGCATTGATCTGATAGTTGTACGGACAACGACCGCAATGTACCCGTACACGCTGTCTCTGTTTTAGGCGCTCTTGCTTCTCTGGGCTACATCGTTCAACGGAGACGGCATTCCAAAAGTATCTGCTTCTCGAAAATCCTTGATCCCAGGTTTTCATATATGTTGTCGGATGCTATATAGTTCTGATCAAGTTCAACTCGACTGAAGTCTAGGTCCAGCACTTACACGTTAATAATCACTCAGAAACCATTCCAAAGAGCATCTTTCAATTACCACTTCCCTACTTTTACTACAGACACCATGGATGAAGTCATCAACAGTACCCTCGAAGAGCTTCAATCCGCAACCAGTAATGTCCCTCTCCGCAGTCTTTTGAAAAGTCATCTACTCCAGCACTGTACTCCCGACAAGTTACAAGCTTTCAACAAGTTGAACGAAAAGCACAGAAAGCTTCTGGTGTCACATGTGGCCCTGCGTATGACGATACAAATGTTTGACAATCTCGGCCCGGAATTGGCCGCAGAGTTGAAGAAATCAACCTAGACATTTTTCGGACTTGTGTTAGTCCCTGGGGGTCCCGGGTAAGCTTTTCACAGTTTTGGCAATATTTTCTTGAGGCGTCTTTCTTTAATCTAACGACGCGGGCTTAACTAGACAGTCCCAACACATACATGGTTCCTCGGAAATGTGGTCAAGTGATTGAAGTGGTTAAGTTGGTGGTTTTTTTTCAGATATACTCGCTTTATACATGCTTCGCAACGGTTTTTGTGACAAACCTTCTGTTTTCGATTCGTTTTCGCTCATAGAGATCCAATGCAGTTATGATTTGGCTCATCAAGATACGTAGAAGGCCTGTAGATCAGCAATGTAGTATTGTACTCGTTCAAGTCTACTCAATAGGAAGCGGGGAACCCAAAATAAATCATAATAATGATTCCACATATATGAATGCATAATAATAAGTGAAAGAAGAAAAAAACAACGGCATTCCTGAAGTCACTAGAGTGCATGCTCAAGCTCCTGGGATAGCTTCAAGACCGCCAACAAAGCCTTCAAGAAGATTTCAACCCCGTTGCTTCAGGCGCCATTGCTCAACTGTTTCATGTATACATTCTGAACGCCAGAGAAGCCATAGATTTTTTTCCGCGAGATTCCGAGAGCTAAAAGCAGCCTTGAACACATATCTGTGAACGTATAGCTGCCCGAACACTTGTAAAGCTGAGCTATACTCACAACCAGCTGGCAAGGACTGCTGATAAGGGGATGGCATTGCTTCGCGGCCCAACACTGAGCAGACTATGGAACATACTACAAAAGTCTGCAATTCCCCTCGCAAGCAAGAGACAAACTCTCAATTTCATTTCATACAAGTTGCTTCTTATATTCTTTCTGTCTCGTTTGAATTCCTCATGAAAGGGCTATGCGTGCATACGGCCCTCAACAGTCACTACGGTGCGCCGACTATCGAGTGGGCTGGGTCTGCGCCTTAGCGCTCGAGCTCACGGCAGCAAAAGCCATGTTAGACACGACACATGGCAGACCATCTGACCTTGAAATCCTGTCAGGGTTCGACGATAACCAATATGAGTTTGGCCAGATCGGTGGTCATAACGTTGTGTTGGCCGTCTTGCCCTCCGGTGGCTATGGGGTCGCTCAGGCAGCCCTTGCCGCAAACATGATGAAACGTGCCTTTCCCGCCATACAGTTCGCTTTGCTGGTGGGTATCGGAGGTGGTGTGCCAAGCAGAACCAATGATATTCGCTTAGGAGATGTCGTGGTCAGCACTCCAGTTGCCGGGTATCCTGGCGTGTTGCAGTACGATCTCGGCAAGCGAGGACTGGACGAAGATATTACTACGACCGGAGTTCTTCGAAAACCAGCACGAAAAGCATTGGCAGCCATTAACGTCATGAGGGCAAGGTATATGATGATCGATAACGATTTGTCAGGTGCCATCAACGAAGCACTGGAGAAATATCCCAGAATGTGTGATGATTTTTCCCACCCTGGTATGGTGAATGATGTCCTGTACCGTGCGGATTACGACCATGTGTCTGGAGATGATTGCTCCAGTTGCAGTAACGGCATGGTGATGAGCCGAAGGGCACGGAAAACGAACGAACCACGCATTCACTACGGGCTTATCGGATCGGGAAACCAGGTCATCAAGAACGGGAAGTTTAGGGAGCGGCTGAGAGAAAAGCATAACATTCTGTGCTTTGAGATGGAAGCAGCGGGTGCATTGGTAAGTGATGGAGGTACCACGGTTAGTGTCACGATGTTTGTTTCTAATTTTGAATCAGGAAGCATTCGAGTGTCTTGTCATTCGAGGCATTTGCGACTACTCAGACTCCCATAAGAATGATCTGTGGCAGGGATATGCAGCGCTTACAGCAGCTGCATACACAAAGGACCTATTGCTTCTAATTGAGGGCTCGGTCACCCCAGATGGTGAGTACCCCATCTACACTTATGTTTGTCTCTTCCTTTGTGGAATGTCCTAACAACGATCACATAGCTATGGCTTCACCCAGCCCTCCTGAGGTTGATGTTCCGGAGAATATTAGTCTGGGTGTTCCAGCACATGGGGGCAACCCGGGGGTCAGAAATTATCCCCAGAACGTTTCCGTCCATAAATCGCAGTTTCACCAACAACAACAACCACCAATAACTTGCGAACCTCCGCCAAGTTATACACAGGCAGCACGTTCCTTTCAACCTGCACCTGCATCGGTTGAGCTGCCTTGTCAACAACCAAAGAAGGTTGACATTGAAAAGAAACGAGCAGATCGAAACAGTTCTCCAAAACCGCCTGTTTCACGACCACCCCAGCAGCCAATTGACCCTCGCCTCCGGAAAGACTACGGAAGAAGACTGGTGGAAGCAGCTAAAGCTGGCAATATGCCCTCGGTGAAGAGATTCATTGAAAGAGGAGGTGATCCAAACACCACAACCGATGATTGGGAACTGACCGCGCTGCATTACGCTGCCAGGATGGGTCACAACGGGTTAACGCGACTGCTTCTCAAAGCAGGGGCCAATCCCAATGCCAAAGCTAGATTCAGAAACGACACCCCTTTATTTGAAGCGGCTGCCAGCGGTCATATAAAGGTCGTGCAATACTTGTTACTCCACGGAGCTGACTTCACGGTCCATTGTCAGCGGGGTAAGACTGCATTGCATGCAGCTGCCGAGAAAGGGCACTTTGCGTGTGTCGAGCTTCTGGTACAGAGCAAGGCCGATCCCGACAGCATTGACGCGGATGGACATACACCTCTGGATTTGGCGAAGAAGGAGGATCGTTTGGAGATAGTCAAGTATCTGCAGCGGATATAGGCTTTCTTTGGTTGATTTTTTATTTTGAGAGAATCTTGCGATCTAGTTTTTTGCGATGCGGAACCAGAATGAGATTACAAAGTATTTCGTTTTATGAAGTTTTCACAAACTGACTGGTCGTATGATCATCAATTGTCTTATCTATGTAGATGTGTAATCACATGATCAGGCTCCATGATCTCTTCGACGGTTCCAGTCATCGCTTCTTTACTCCGCATTGCAAGAAAACCACCAAATTCATCAACTCTATCATTAAGATCATCCAGTACCTTAATTCATTGGGTTTCTGGCAGCTATGGAACTTCTCTGAGGCTAAAATTCTACTTCCACAGTAGCACTGCCTTCAAGGTCTTCCCAGTCGTCATGTCGCTGATTGCTTCATCGTATTTCTCAACCGGGTAGTACTTGATTAGTTCTTCGATGGGATAATTTCCGTTTGTGTTTTGCTCAATGAGGTATGGCAGGAACTAGGGGTTTATTAGCAATGCTGATGTTTCTTATCGCGCAGGGGCATTTTACCTTCTCAGGCTGTCCGTCTCCCTCACAGCATCCTACGTACTGGCGACCGAAAACCAGTTGTGAGAAGAGATCGACCTTGACTGTTTTCCCGGGTGTTGAAGCACCGACAGTCGCCAATTTCCCCCGAGTTCCGAGCGCCTGGATAGCATTCTCAACAACTGCCGGAACACCGGTACAGTCAACGGCATAATGCACTCCAAGCGGTGGACAGATCGCCTGGATTTGCTTGACAATGTCCTCATCAGTTCCGCTGATTGTATGTGTTGCCCCAAGCTTTTTCGCTAGGTTCAGTCGATCCTGATTTAAATCCACGGCGATGATAGTCCTTGCACCACGTATCTTCCCCGCCATGATAGCACTCATACCTACGGAACCAGCACCGAAGACCGCTAAACTGGTTCCGGGTTGCACATCAAGTGTGTTCATAACTGCACCTGCCCCAGTCTGGAAGCCACAGCCTAGCGGCGCGAACCTATCCAGTGGACACTCGGGATCCACTTTCACAACACATGATGCATGCACAATAGCCAAACTGGCAAAGGAACTCTGACCGAAGAAATTCCCACGCAAGGGGTCTCCGTTCGGGAAAGATAGGGTAAAGCTCCCGTCTGACCTTTGTTGACCGAAATTGCTCGGTACCCATTGTTTGCAATATGCTGGATGTTCGCTGGTGCATTGCTCACAATCTCCGCAGAAAGCATAGCTCAATAACACCTTGTCATCAGCATGGAGATGTGTGATGCTGCTGCCGGTTTTCACGACAACACCAGCCCCTAGGTGACTCTTAGCGGGTTACGGGCATTTAAACGGGAACTTCGTACCTTCATGTCCAAATACACATGGAGCAGATGCAGGTAGATTTCCGTTCATACAAGAGAGATCGGTATGGCAGATGCCTGTCGCATGTATCTCGACAAGCACTTCGTCGGATCTCAGGTCATTCAGGTGTATGTCCTCTAAGCTGAGAGGACTATTTACCTCTCTCATCACCAGTGCTGTGGCGGTCGCAGCCATGATTTCGGTCGCTTAGGTAAGAGCTAAGGGAAAGAGGTTTCTCAATGCGAAAGGTGTCTTCGCCCATGTTCGGCCAAAGAACAGGGACATTCTTTCTATTTAAGTGTCATTCCTGCTTCATATCTTTTTACATACCCCAAAACTGAGTCCGATGACGACTGAGAGGTACAATAAGCTCTCCTGGATCTGCCGTGTTCTCAATCCGGCCCTTGGTTATATCCGAAAACCAAGGATAGGCAGCAGGCCCCGGATTCTGAACTGCGGGGAGAGTTTATTAAGGTTTACTAAGCACGCCACTAGCGACCAAGTGTGTACTCTCTTCATTACAAGCTATTGATGGGCCGCCAAGTAGTATGCCAGCCTCACAACTAAGCGAACATCTTTTGTGGAGTGTTCATACTCCGTACAACGGGCTGGTATACCTATGCTTCTTGTCGTCCTACCGATTCAACGGGCCGTTCTCAGCACAACCCGATGTGACTCCTCACATCTTTGCTCAAACATTACACTCTCATTGGCGGGCTTGATATGAGCGGCGTGGATCTGTAGGCAGCCAAGCCTTCAGATGCTGATCCGTTCGCAGATCTCCATCCTGCGGGGTTTACGATTCTCATCTAGCTTTCGGGCGTAAGGCATTACAACTCCCGCTTCGATCTGCCGACCACTACCTATTAAGCCGAATCTCGATCCGGATACTTATGTTGGAAGGAAGCTTAGTGATCTGGTGAGGCGCGGGGCCCCGCGAAACCCGTATTCCCTATTTTCGGGTCGTTCCCGAGACGCCATTGATCCCGACGATCAGAAAGTGCCCATAATTCAGTCTACACTAC